CTTTGCTTTAACCCCTGATTGCGTCTCATCAATCAATACAATATCGTCGGCAAACATCATGCACCACGGTATATCGTCTTGAATTGACTTTGTAAGTTCATCCATGACTATGACAAATAAAAAAGGGCTCAGAGTCGATCCTTGGTGCACTCCGATAGTAATAGGGAACTCCGCAGTCCTCCCTACACTAGTACGAACACTTGTAGTACTATCCTCATACATATCCATGATGATGTTGATATACTTGCGTGAAATGCCTTTTCTAGTTAAGGCCCACCAAAGAACTTCTCGAGGTACCCTATCATATGCCTTTTCTAAGTCAATGAATACAAAATGCAAATCTTTGTGAGCGTCTCTATACTTCTCCATAAGTTGCCGAAGAAGGTGAATAGCCTCAGTTGTTGAGCGACCAGGCATAAAACCGAATTGATTCTCTGAAATCTTCACCGTTCTTCGAAGTCTTTGCTCAATCACTCGCTCCCAAAGTTTCATGGTATGACTCATAAGCTTAATCCCTCGATAGTTGGCACATTCTTGTACATCACTTTTATTCTTAAATAAGGGAATAAGAGTACTCTTTCTCCAACTCGTTGGCATCTTGTTGTTTCTCCAAATTTTGTTGAAGAAATTTGTTAACCACCCGATGCCTCTCTCTCCCAAACTTCTCCAAGCCTCGATCGGTATGCCATCTGGACCCACTGCTTTCTTCCGCCCCATCTCCCTCAGAGCCTCTTTAACTTCCGTTGGTTGGATCCTTCTCACAAAATCACGATTTACCATACAATCTGGTATGGTCAAATCATCGATATCTTGCACTTTGTTCCCGTTGAACAATGTATCAAAGTATGATCTCCACCTCTCTTTTATCTCTCTGTCCTCCATTAATATCCTTTGATCGACATCCTTCACACACTTAACTTTTCCGATATCTTGAGTCCTGCGATCACGAAGACGAGCAAGTCTATAGATATCTTGTTCTCCTTCCTTAGAGTCCAATTTTTCATACAACTCCTTGTTCACTTTCCCTTGTTCTTTTTTTACGGCTTTCTTTGCTTGTCTTCTAGCCTCCTTGTATGCTTCTATGTTCTCATCACTCCGACTTATCCCCAGCTTTTTGTAGCAATCTCTTTTGTTCCTTATGGCTTGTTTCACCTCATCATTCCATCAAGACGTGTCCTTTTTGGGTAGCAGACATCCTTTAGATTCCCTAAGTACCTCCTTTGCCATCCTAGTGATGCTAATATCATTAGGTTTTTGTTTCTAAATTCTTAAATTAGAAATTACAATCTTGCCGACTTGTAAAGTCAATACACATAAATTAAAATGTGATTTTGAAGTTGATAAAGTTACCAAATAAGATGAATATACAAAACGTAATACTCCGTAGAAAATAAAAGGTATAGAAAGTAATTACATATTTGTTATATATAATGACATGACAGGATTATGTGGCTCTCTGTATGCTCTTGAAAAGTTCCTCTTATATATATATATATATATATATATATATATATATAGATTTAGGATCAAATGAGAACAACCCTTAACGTGAGAACGTGAGAACACCACATTTACCCAAATGTGATGCACAATGAGGCTCGCCCAATGCACATTTTCGCGTTCGGCACAGTATTTACTAAAATGCCACCGTCATTATTTATATAGGCTTATTTTGAGCTAAACCCAAATGTGCACCTGACGGGCTCAATTGTGTATCACGCTGGGTTAATTGTGAGTGTTCTCACGTTCTCACGTTAAGCATCGTTCTCACTGGAACCGCACCCTATATATATATATATATATATATATATATATATATATATATATATTGATTTTTCGTGGTGCCTGTCGTTTGAACTATCTCATTCTAGAATCAAACGGTTATAGTCTAGATTTGAGTTCTATCCTTGTAAAATCCCATGTTTAGCCTTGAAGCCTACAAGTTGCATCCTTGTAGGATTGTTGGAACAATGTTGAAAATCACTTTTGTGCCTCATTTTCTTTGGTGCAACATGCATGTCAAAATACGTACTATTAATACTATTACTATTATTCACGAGATAAAATTCAGTTGAGTACATCAACTGGTATGAGATGGGATAAAGAGTACACTATATTGCATTTGACATTCCTAAGTACATAAATTTGGGTTTTTAGTGTTCGTTGAGTACACATGTTAGATTAACACGTTTATACACTTGATTTGGCTAACGATATGCTACTAGGTTGACTTCCTGAAGGTTGGTGGCCCCTAACCCCTTAGTCAACTTCCCCTGGGTTGACGCCAGTCCCCCGCAGGTCGACTTCCCCTTGGTCGACGCCCCCCGCAAGTCGACGCCCCTTGCAGGTCGACCTCTGAAGGTTGGCTTTCCCTTTTTGGTCGACGCCAAAACCTTGGTCTACTTCCCCTTGATTGACTTCCCCGTCTTACTCAGCATTCCATTAACCAACTCAGTCATATTAAGGTGTTAATCTATTAGGTGTACTCAGTTAACACTAAAACCGAGTTTATGTACTTATGAATTTCAAATGCAATATATTGTACTCATTACTCCACCTCATACAAGTTAATGTACTCAATTGACCCTTTCCTCCTATTATTATTATTATTATTATTATTATTATTATATTTATTATTATTATTATTACTAATAATATTATTATTATTATTTGATGAAACGGTTAGTAACACAAGAGGGGGGGGGGGTGAATTGTGTGTGTGGAACGAAACGTGGTAGTTTTTCGCAAGTTCTAGTGTAGGGAATAGGGCGAGATAAATTAAATAAGTGCACAAGGATTTAACGAGAAAAAATCCATTGGCTCAAAAGAGATTAAAAAACTTCGACCTCTCTCGGAGGAATTTGAAACAATTTCACTAAAGCCTTTGAATGGTTACAAGAGAAATTCTCCTAGTCTACCCTTGAGTCACCGCAACTCTATCCTCTCTAGAAAGAGTTATGCTTCTCTACCTTGCGAGTAGAGAGCCCCTCAGCTTTACCTCTCACTATACACTTACCAACCTCGAGGATGCTACAGTTAGTCAATTCTCAAAACCCCATTACAAAGAGAAGGGAAAAAGGAAAACTATATCTAGAACGCAATATGAACAGTTTCAGGTGCCTTGAGCTTCGGTCGTTCTTTAGTTAATGTGTCTCTCTATATTCTATCTTTGTCAAGTACACACTTCTTCTTCTTGATCTCGATATATAGGATGGTAGAGATAGATCCGTTGAGACCTTCCTTCCTTGGATGGCTAAGTTATTAAGTGTGAGACTTGCCTTTGTATCATTTGAAAATCCTTCCTTGTGTGAGAATTCGCAATCCTTCTCTCGTGGTGCACCAGACTTATTCGGATCACATTCACACAATTATAGAATAAATATTTAAGCACAGAAGATGAGCATATCATGGGATCCTATACTTATCATAGATAAGCATGCAACGTTTCTCTCATAAATTTCCATTCTAAAATCAAATCATGCACGATCATTTCCATTAAGCTATATTGGACACGTTATTATCAAATGAGTGCCCAATTATGCATGGAGAGAGAATAATCGATTCATGCTTCGTATATATAAAATAATCATGGATAGAAAATACTCTTGCTTAAGTGGCATATTTAAATGGGTGATCACATATAGAAAGTATATTAGGTAGTGATCAATTTAAAATGAGACGGAAATAATGCTAAATCACATGAAGGGAACATGGATTGATTTCGGGGCAACCAAATTTCGAGGTTGTTCAGCCTTAATCATATCAAAATTATTTAATCGAACAACACTAATCAATACTGAATTCTTAGAGTACAATGATTTTGAGAGCATGGTTGATATCTCATGCAATAGGCAGTAGGCTTCTAAATGGTTGCCAAAACGAGTGAGCGAGCGTACGACTCCCTAGCCTTGCTAAAATCTTAGCTAGTGGCGATGTGTCAAAGTGTCCTAAAACAATTTAGATCTCAATTAAATTATTCTATATGCAATTATAATCCTAACAACCGTTCATGATTATAACACTTAACATTTAAATTATTCACACATAAATTAAATAATAATCATGCAATTAATCCATTAAGAACGAACCCCAAATTATGAATTATGTCCTTTCATCAATTGCGAATCCCGAATTAAATCTACTCACCATTCATAATTGAATTACCAATAGAATTGAAGGTAAGAATTAATTGTCATTAATTGAAAAAAAAACTTACAAAAAATACCATAGCTTTAAAGAATCAAAGCTGAAAAACCACGAAATTCTCGTTTGAGACTCTCTGAATTCTATAACCCCAAACAAGGGTTTGAAGCTTGTTTATATACAAAAATCTGACATTTTAGCTGTATTTTAGCCGCACAAGATTGGTCAAACGGTCGTGTGCGCAACCAACTCTTCCGCTTACTTGAACAATAACTTCTCATGCGCACACCGCTCTGCATACTGCTTGGGCACAACGGTGTGCGCAACTAGAGAAGTCTTTTCACTTTTTGGGTATGTTTGGCACAACTAGCTGAAAAGATACTTTTACAGACTTTTTAGTAATGGTTAGCTTTTAGTGACTGAAAAGATCTTAAAAGTAAAAGGTCGTAACTGTTTGGTAAAAAGCCGACTGTTTGGTTTAGTTCTGTTTGGTATAGAAGCTGTTGGGACTAATTAATGCTAAAAGTCACAGACTTTTTTCAGATGCTACTCCCTATAGCATCTCAAAAAAGAGTTTTTTATTTTTGGAAAAGCTCTTAAAATTGTCATACCAAACATACAACTAGGAACTTTTAGAGACTTTTTAAATAATACAAAAGCTAGAAGGCAGGGACTTTTGCCTGCCAAACATAGCCTTTGTCTTTACGAATGAGCTTCTCAGGTAAGTTGCTAATATATAGGTAAATTTCCCTTTTAACAAAGCACTATATTTTAAAAAAAGCACTTAATGACCTGATTAGGGTGCTAAGCCCAAGCCATGGCTATTGGGCTTCATTAAGCCGGAATCAGGTTCATATTTTACTACCCATAAATCCATCATCCATTTTATGTTCTTGATGTGAATAAACCGAAGACAAAAAAATTCAAAATTCGGCGGAGGTCAGCAATCCCAGATTGACAATGGACACAGCGGATCCAGATCGATCCCCCGCAAACGCCACTCCCGCCGCTACTGCTACCACCACCGATGACCCGCTAAACACTCCCTACTACGGCTCGCTAAACGATCATTGCCACGATCTCGCCGTCCTGCAGGACCTGGCCTGCCGAGGGGCCTGGCGGTCGGTCCTCGACAAGGTCGGCCACGCTCGTTCTCTTTCCCTCCTCACGAAGCCCCACGAGCACCTCATCTACCTCACTTACAATGTCCTTGCTCTCACGAAGCTCCGCCGCTTCCCCGACGCCAGCAACGAACTCAACGCCGTGCTTGAAGGCGACGATTTTGAGAGCTCACAGTACCTATATGAAACTTACCCTAATCATTACCCCAATTCCAGTGGTTCCATGGTCCCCTTTGCCCTCCGGTGGATCCACGCCCATCTCCCCTCCGCACTAGGCCAACGCCAGCAGGCTCTAGACCGCCTCTATTCCCTCCTTGATTTCATTCGATCCAAAAAACTAAATACCAACGCATTGTCTTCAAGGTCTGAACTTTCCGAAGGTTTGTGGAGGAAGCGCGAATGTTTTGTGATGAATACAATAATCAGTTACCACTTGAGTCAGAAGGAGTTCAAGGTTTGTTTTGATTTGCTCAGCGAATTGATCGGGAAAAGAGAGTGTGGGAATGATCCATTCTTGTTGTCAAAATTGGGATACGTTCAGATGCAGTATGGGGATGTGGATGGTGCAAAAAGGACATTTAAAGCAGTAGAAAACAAGATAGAAAATGACAGTGACGTGAGGTTGAAGAATTTAGTGAGCAGGAACACGGCATTGATATATATACTAGGAAAGGACTATGCTTCTGCAGTGAGGGAGTATGAGCAATGCATAGAAAGGGATGGGGGGATGGATATAGTGGCGCTAAACAACAAGGCATTGTGTTTGATGTATTTGAGGGACTTGTCGGATGGGATCAAAGTGTTGGAGAATGGCTTGGAGCGAGTTCCCACAGTAGCACTGAATGAGACTGTGGTGGTTAATCTGTGTAGTATGTATGAACTGGCATATGTCAACCATGTCGATATAAAGAAGACTCTTAATAATTGGATTGTTAGGGTTGCTCCAGATGACTTTGATTCGGCTTGTACACGGATATGAGGTGAAGTTATATGTTTGAAATTATTATAGATTGTCATTGTTGAATGCTTGTCGTGTAGAGTTTCAATTTTTAATGCAATGTATTTTCATCCGGATTGTTCTTTGGGTTAAACCTGAAACTGTCTTCGCATGTGCCTTACTAAATTGGGATAGTCATACATGTTTGGTCTTGGTGCAATTTGAAAAGCATAGATGTTCATGTTCACTGTGTAAGTTTTCTGAACATGTTTGAAGGAAAAAGTTAATTGTAGGAATGTCATATTATCATGGTAATAAAAGCATATAAATGACCTAACTTCATTCCGTGATACTAACTTTTCCAAAATACAAAGCGGATGGGAGGCATAATGCCTATGGTTTCAGTGTGATCCCATATGGTGGCATAGGCAAAGCATTGGGCACCAGGGCAAGCTTTCCGATCTACAGGCTTGTTTCGTGGACCCACAGTGCAAAGTTTGGAGGTCGGCAGCATACAGTTGAAGGAAACAACAGGGATCTTTAATTGGCGATAGGCAGGAGTCAGCAAGGCTCTTGTACCGTGAAGTTGAGGCTTCAGGGGAGTACACTGAATGAGATGAACAAGGAGCAAGGTGAGTTTGATGATTTAGAATAGGTCTAAGATCATTTAGTCTTAGAGGAAGAAGATGAAGTGTTTATGGTCTGTCCCCCTCCTAAACCGCCGTCATTGAGTGAACGGGTGGATAGGGTTGGAAGTTGACGTTTCAAGTTTGGATAGGGCCACCTGCAGTTTTTTGCTTTATATTTATTTCAAATTTTATTTTTCTTTCGTTATATTATTTACCTTATTTTTGAATTGTTTGTGTTTGCGGCAAGTCTTGAGATGTATAGTTTAGTTGTTATCGGAGGTATTGAGACTTTTGTAGTCGTTAATTGCTTAAAAGCTCCCTCATGTTTAGCGAAAAGTTTCGCTCAATTGTGGGTGAACTGAAATCCCTTAAAAGGGACTCTTTGGCTATTGTGAGTCTAGTGAAGTGGTGAAATGTACTGTGACCTTGAAGTTTAGTAAGAATTTTATGGTGCTCGTTTGGTGGTCAACGATTCACACTGCTTCTTGCCCGACTCGCAGTTTGCTTGTAGAGCTTTTTTGAGTCTAAACGGAGTGTTTTGGAAGATAGGTGGTAGTTTTTGAGCTATTGAATAGCTGTAACTCTTGATTTGATTGGTATTTTAATATAAGTTCTTTCTCCTTTCAAAAAAGCTTATAAATGACACGTAAGGAACTACGAAGTAAATTATTATCAAGCGATTAAATTTCCAAATATCTTTTAATTAAATAATGTATGTAAAGTGTTGAGATGGTTGTTTGTCCGGACTTTTCATTTCAGAGGTTTAAGCATTTCTCAAACCCAACAGAAAAGGAAAACAATTGATGATAGAGCGGTTGCTTGCGTTTGATGTTTCCAAAACTTCCAATAGTTGTTTTCTAAAAAAGGTTCCCCATAGAAGGCTTTGAAGATGATTTAGATACTACTCTGTATAATACTCTGATCATATTCAATAGATAAATATGAATTATTGATCGTTTAGATAAAAAAAAACACAACAAGAATTAGTGATCGTTGAATACCAATAGACCATATAAAATGACAGGTATACAAGATAAAACCGAAACTCCCGATTAAAGATTGCTTGTAGTGGAAGATCAAGTCTGAGCAGAATTCTCAATTCTGCCAAGCCATCATCAGCTTGGTACAATGGAAAATGAACCACGGGATAAAGGAAGCATACTATGGACAACTTGGTCCAAACACAAACTAGAACTCAAACTTGAGTTACAGGACAAACAATCTCCCAAACGACATGAAAGAATATTCTTAATTCCTCTTCATCAATAATCATCCCACGTACTCATTCTCTACAGGCATTTCTTTTTATATAGATAACCACAACCCATTACTTCAATCAAATTGCAATCTTAATCCCTGAAAGATCTAATTAAAACCAAAAGAATGACAAATAAAGAAAGGGCGTCACAGATCGTGTTTTTTGACCTGGAAACTACAGTGCCCAGGAAAAAGGGGCAGAAATTTTCGGTGCTAGAATTTGGTGCGATTGTGGTCTGCTCACAGAGGTTGGCAGAGATGGAGAGCTACTGCACGCTGATCAGGCCAGGGGACTTATCTGTCGTGGGGGTGAGATCGGGCCGATCCGGTGGAATAACACGTGGGGCTGTTGCTGATGCTCCCCCATTTGAGGAAGTTGCAGAGAAGATATTCAACATCATGGATGGCCGGATATGGGCAGGGCATAACATTCAAAGATTCGATTGTGTTCGTATTAAGGAGGCTTTTGCTGAGGCTGGCCTCCCTCCACCTGTCCCTGTTGGCACCATCGATTCCCTTACAGTTTTAACAGGGACATTCGGAAGAAGAGCTGGAAATATGAAGGTATATATATAAGCTTAAGTATATTTTTTTTGTCATGCAAATACAGCTTTTCTTTGTTTAAGGTCCCTAAAAAGTTACTCCGTATTTTTTACCATCCATCTCTGAATTTATTATACACACACCCTTCCAGAATAGTAGTATAAGCTACATTTGGATTTGGAATGGTTTTTTAGAAAAATCAAATGCGTGGATGGAAACATATTCTAACGGGTCAAATTTTATTTAATTAGCTAAACTGACCAAATGTCAATATATCTCTGACTTCGCAATACCAAGTAAAATCCAGCCACGATATATATATATATCAGACAAATATTACTCTATATATCAGACAAATATTACTCTGTTGGCACAAAATTGGTGCAGTGTAGAATGGGTGATTTTTTAGCATAGTGGTGATTGGTGAACGTGTTGAGAAGATCAGAAGAGGCAGAGAGTGAATGGGAGGGATAATTTAGGAACAGCTGGGTATTACGTAATTGACCGAATAGAAACGCTAGCTCCTCTAACTTTCAATTGAGCCTTATTTGTCAGCTTCATCCCACTTTAGCCTTTTATCCAAACACACCTACTTGAATAATTAATGAGTGATTTAAAAAAAAAATCAGCCTATTATGAGTTGAAATGGCGCACCAAACATAGCCATAGTCCAATCGGAGTTATACTTTTATTGGTAAATTAAAAGATGTGTACACTAATTCATTTTCTAATTTATTACTACGTAAAAGATTTTTCATATGGTAAATAACTCGTAAGATCGAACTTATTCGTCTTTCTTTTTATATATATGTTTTAGTTCAATTAAATAATTGACCAGATAATTTCTCTCCCTCTATAAACACACACACAAATATAGTATATACTCCGTACCACATATGTAAAGAGAACTATTCTCATCAGTTCGGACTGACCGAAACGGCCATCCATCCGCCTCCATTTGAGGGTTTCTGCAAGGATTTTTTGATAAAATTTGTGAGAATGTTCTTCATTAAGTGTACTATGTCAACAAAATTAAACTTAAAATTCAATCAGAAAGTCAGTTAAATAAACTATTGAAAATTATTGTGTCAATATATACTCCCTCCATTCTCTAATACATGTGTCTCTTTCCGTTTTGGGATGTTCTCCAATACATGTCTCTCTTTCTCTTTTAGAAAGTTTTTTCAATAAATATACTTATATACCCACATTCTCTTTCTTACTTTTTCTTTCTCTTTCCTACTTTTTCCTTTACACACAACTCACTACACCTTTTATTTTACCTCTATTAATTCCTTCTTAAAACGTGTGCCAAAGCCTATACTCTCATCTATTAGAGAACGGAGGGAGTATATAAAAACGCAGTGTTTTTTAATAGTTTATTTAACTGACCTTCGAATTTTTGGTTGAACTTTTATGGACATAATTTACGTACACCTCATGAAGAATATGTTCACATAACTTCATCAAGAAATTCCACCGGAAGCACCACAAATGGAGGCGCTGGACGTACGGCTACTCCAGTCAGTCCGGATTAATGAGAAAAGTTATCCATATGTAAATATTACTCCTCGATAACACAATAAGAATCTCACTTTCTTTTTTGGGTTGTATCACAATAAGTGTCTCACTTCCATTTTTGGAAATAAATCAATCCCAAAGCAACTGCAGTACATTTTAATAAAGGAAACAGTACTGCTACAGTACCAAAACTCTCATGCTTTATCAAAAAGTGTACAGTAAACTTATAAATTGTTTTAAATTACATGAAAAGCCTACTGAGACACTTATTGTAATATGTAGGGTTCCCGGTACAAATTATTACGTGCTTTTTTCTTGGCAATATATATTCTCTTTAATTTGATCATTATATAACATGGTAATTGTGTTGTCCCTTAATTAGATGGCAACATTAGCAGAATACTTTGGACTGGGAGAGCAGAAACACAGGTTAGCTAGAGAGCATAATCTCAAGCAATGACTTGGCAAGAAGCTTGATCGAAGACATGCATGCATAATATATACAGTGCTGCATGTGAGAATTTGAAGTAATGATGTGATTGGTTTTGCAGGAGCTTGGATGATGTTCGAATGAACTTGGAGGTCCTCAAGCATTGTGCCACAGTAATGTTTTTGGTAATGAAATTAAACCTTCAAAATGTCTTTCACATGCATAAGGAACTAGCTAGCTAGCATAGCTGCTAAGGTAGCTTGGGTTGTTTTTAGATCGAACACCAAAATGAACTAAATTTTCGTGACCAACGTTATATATACTTGCAGGAGTCGAGCCACTTGGATTTGATGAACCACAATGTGCGTGGACGGCCTAACGTTATGACAAGAAGCAGAACTGATGCAATGGTACGTACGTATTATAGACGCATGCATGCACACGTACTAAGCTAATAATTATATTTAATAAGCCACCTTACTTAATTAATACTCCGTACTAGCTCCTACTAATTTTATATTAAACTATGTATTCTTTACTAATATTTATATCTGATTTTGTGAGTAGGACGAAAGCTGTCACACTTCATCATCACCAATGTCAACAAGAAGCGCCAAAAGGAGCTAGCTAGCTATATATTTGATGCATTTAGGATAGGAATTATATATTGATCGATGAAACTAATAACGGCCGCTATCAACAATCCCTTAATTAGAATGCATTCTTTGATTTTTATTTAACTCGAATCGGTTATCATTCTCTTGCTCCTCTTTCTCCACCTGTAAATGCTTCATCTTGTGCAATTCTGTAGCAATATAATATTGGGAAGGATACGTAAAAGTGTTGTAATAACTATGAAATACTTCAATTATACGTAGGCAAATTCCATAGAGCCGGACAAGGTACCTTACCTTATTCACATGGCCGGATTAATAAAAATAGTGCTATTAAATAATTTAAATATAAATAAATCATGAAATAATGATTTGGATAAATCAAATAGGTGATAGGCAGGGGAAGATCTATGTACGGGCTATGGTGGGCTGAAACCCAAGGCAACTTAAAAAATCAATATTTTTAGTGTATTTTTTTCATTTTCACATTTAGCCCACCTCGATAATAGGCCTGGACTTGGGCCGGGTCGGGCCCGGGCCTAGGCCCGGTCGGGCCTCCGGTCCTGGAATGGGGGGCCCGGAACCGGCCCGTCCTTCGCCCGGTGCAGGTTCGGGCTGGGTCACCCGCCGGGTCTCGGGCCGGGCCACCCGCCGGGTCGGGTCAGGCCAACGTATTTTTTTTTTAACTTATTAATCCAACTTAAATATGAAATACATTTTTCAATAAATACTAATATAATTAATTCTAATTTGTAAGTTTGTAACAATTAATTAATTTGAGAAGTGCTACATATAAACAAAAAAAGAATGTATATTTATTTGAAATATGAACTACAAGTTTACAAATTACAATAGAGAATTGAGGGGGAAATTAAAACATAAAATACATTTTATAATAAATTGTAAAATACTAATCAATCGGAATCTCCGGCATAGGAACCACCCTCGGTTGTTGATTCATCCATAAAGTCTTGGGAGGGGGTGATGCTAATTTCTTGAGTTCTACGTATGGCCTTCAACCAATCGTGGTAGCATATAAGCGTCTCAAGAGACTCAGCATATAAGTAGATAATTGTATAACTAATATATAATATAATGTTTATAGTATATAATATATAAGTATATTACTATAAGATGAGTAATACACTTATATATAATACTTTAATATAAGTAAATAACAATAGATATAGATAATAAAGTAAATATTAAAAAGATGGAGATGTATAAGTAGATAATAAGTATATATTAAGTAGATAATAAATATTAGTAATATAATATAGGTATATAAGTAGATAATTGTATAACTAATATATAATATAATGTTTATAGTATATAATATATAAGTATATTACTATAAGATGATTAGATGAGTAATACACTTATATATAATACTTTAATATAAGTAAATAACAATAAATATAGATAATAAAGTAAATATTAAAAAGATGGAGATGTATAAGTAGATAATAAGTATATATTAAGTCGATAATATTTAAGCCCGGTATAACTGCTATTCAGCCCAGGGCATTCCGAATTCGTGGACCCGCCCCTGGTGATAGGTATAGTGCCCTCACTTTTTGATGAGTACTTAGCTTTCCAATCTTATTTCTCAACTAATGGTACTTCTAATTTTCTAAACTTATTCCTCATTTGTAGATTGATGTGATGTTAGACCCGATCGATCATGTCAATAAATAGTAACTTCAATTTTCAAAAGGTGAGAACTCTGGTACCCATTTAAAAAATGGGGTACCGTACCTACCATTCACTTGATTGGTCCACATAGGTATATCAATTTTAATTTAGACTTAAATAATTCAACTGCAACATTCTGATTGGTCCATGTGGACAAAGATACAGTACCTTTTGGATACCATAGAATCTACCTTTTCAAAAATACTCGAAAAATTAATTCAAAACAAAAATACCGAGAGATGCGCCTCGTCAAGCCTAATTATCACATCATTGTAGAAATGTTCATTAAAACTAACACCTTATTTAATCACAACGTTTATAATTTCATATTCAACTCATACAATCACAAAAACACTTAAATAAATTTTTAAAAACTCAGAATCTAGGAAACAATTTTAAAAAGACAATTTGTAAATTAGAGCCAGAAAACAAACATAAAGTAAAAAAAAATCCTAAAAACTAAAAAATTCTTTAAAACTTAATTTCTCAAACAAGACTTCACCAAGAAAATTACAATGTTGATAATTGACATTATGAAATTCAACTAATTACATATATACATAATAAAACTGTAAAACACTCGCACACATGAACATTTAATTATACCTGAAATTAAAATATAAATTGTTAGTGCCGTTCTTAATCTTTCATCACTCCAATTTGTAACTCTTTCTCAGCTTAATAATGTCCTAATTACGGACTTGCTTTTTTATTTTGTTCATTGAAATAGCCACATAGTGCATCAAAAGTTTTGACATATTGTTGGAAATTTTGTTATTTCAAATAAAGAAAATATTTTAAACAATTGTTTCACTCTTAAAGTATTAAGTAACCGAAAGAAGAATTAACTTTTTACTTAATAGAGTGGAGCCAAAATAACATCTTGAACGGATGTTTTGTACTTGGTTGGCTATTGCACGTTACTAGGCTCACCATTAGTTACTCCTATTTATTAGGATCACCAACAGTCATATTATTCTCTTTTTAATGGGGAGGAAGGATCTCTTAATATGGGATGTACGTAGACTTTGTCTTCTTCGAGAAAAAGAAAAGAAAAACTACTCCATTGAAAATGTTTCCTGTACTAAGCTTGTGCTGGATTATAATTATGATTTTCCTCGTAGTTCTGGTTCCGACTATTCGTCGAAGGGCTCGTTTAATCCTAGGGGAAGATTTCCGTTCACTGGAAATACTTTCAGAGGACAGCGTTTACGCGACTCGAGCTACGGTGTTTCTTGTTGTTATGTTTTGCAGGTTTTTATCTGTGTTGGCAGAACTAGTGCTTTGGACCTGCGGTAATATATATGAATAGAACAAGGTGCTGCTATGGAAGAACTGAAGAAGATGATACCCAGGAACTCCCATGCCGCCGCAAAATGCCGGAGATAGGTGGAGAAGCTCTTAGCCGGACAACCATCGTGCTCCCGTCGGCCAAAGTTGAACTGTCAGGAGCAAGTGAAGAAGACAAACCCCCAACAAACTCTGAAAGTATGATCGGACAAGACTTGCTCGACGTTAACCTCAACAACAATCACGATGATGTTGACCCAATGGCTGGAACAATAATCTCTAGGCAGCGTTTGGCCAAATGCTTCTGCGTAGGTCTGCGAATTGGGGTAATTTTACTACTGACCATTATGTTGAGATATTTAACATTACGTTGCCTGCCAGCATTTGCCATGCCGCGTTCTCTACAATTTTTTGGACTCTCTTTGGTTATCCCATTCACAATAAGTCTTAGTTTAATCCCATGTGTTATAATTTATATCATTTTATGTGATAAAAAGACAACTATGAGAAACAATAACCCACTTAAATCAAAATTAAAATTGATTAAAAGTGATGAAAATTTTATTGCGGTTGTTTCTCAAAGTTGTAAAATAAATGATGTGAATGAATGGATGGTAGACTCCGGGGCTACCAAGCACATTTGTAAAAACAAAAGTGCTTTTACCTCCTTTAGTACTACTATGGGAGATGACGAAGAGCTCGTGTACCTAGCGGACTCAAAAACCGCAAAGGTGCACGGTAAAGGGAAAGTTCTTCTTAAACTCACATCGGGGAAATCTTTATCACTAAATGATGTACTTTATGTGCCTGAGATTCGGACTAATTTAGTTTCTGTTTCTCTCTTGGTAAAAGTCGGGATTAAAGTTTCTTTTGATTGTAACAAAATTGTTATGACCAAAAATGATGTTTTTGTGGGCAAAGGCTATTGTAAGAATGGATGTTATGTGCTTAGTGTTCGGAAATTAATGCGTGAAAATGCTTCTGCTTATTTAATTGATTCATATGATGTGTGGCATGCTAGATTAGGACATGTGAGTGATTCTTATATTAAATTGTTGAATGATTGTGGTTTGATTTCTAGTGGAAAGAAATTGACACTAGAAAAATGTGATATTTGTGTTGAATCCAAACAAACCAAAAAATCATGTCCTACCACACACAGGGAATCAGAACTGCTTGAGTTAATTCACACGGATTTGGGTGATTTAAAAAATACCATGACCAGAGGTGGTAATAAATTTTATGTCACCTTTATTGATGATTTTTCGAGATACACTAAAGTTTATTTGCTTAAAAGTAAAGATGAGGCTTTTGATAAATTTTTAGTGTATAAATCCGAGGTGGAAAATCAATTGAATAAGAAGATTAAGAGAGTGAGATCGGATAGAGGGGGCGAATATATTTTAATAAATGATTTTTGTGAGAGGGAAGGGATTATTCATGAGATAACTCCTCCATATTCGCCCGAATCAAATGGAATAGCTGAAAGAAAAAATAGGACATTAAAAGAAATGATGAATGCTCTTTTAATTAGTTCTGGTGCTCCTGATAATCTGTGGGGGGGGGCTATTCTTTCTGCTTGTCACTTACAAAACAGAATTCCTTATAAGCACAATAAGAGAACACCCTATGAATTGTGGAAAGGTTATGTGCCTAATTTGAAATATTTGAAAGTGTGGGGGTGTTTGGCTAAAGTCTTATTGCCTAATCCTAAGAAGAGGAAAATTAGTTCTAAGACATCTGATTGCATATTTATTGGTTATGCTGAATGTAGTGCTGCTTATAGATTTCTTGTTTTGAAAAGTGATGTGCTTAGTTGCAATACTATTATTGAAACAAAAAATGCTGAATTTTTTGAGAGTGTGTTTCCTTTAAAGCCAGAATACAAGACCGTTGTGCCATATCGTGAAAGTGAGCCATTAAAAGAAAATAATACTTTTAATGATGAACCCTCTAATTTGAGAAGAAGTAAGAGGCCAAGGATAGAAAAATCTTTTGGAAATGATTTTTATACATATCTTGTTAATGATGAACCTTTTACTTATTCACAAGCTATTTCATCAAAAGAGGCTCCTTTTTGGCTTGAGGCAATTCAAAATGAAATTGAATCTATTCAGAAAAATAAAACTTGGATTTTAACTGATTTGCCTAAAGGGTGCAAACCAATCGGATGTAAATGGATTTTTAAAAAGAAATTTAATCCGGATGGTTCAATTGACAAATATAA